GGGACTTAGGGCAGTGTTGTCCAAACTGGGCCACTTTAAGATGAGTGGACTTCAACTCCCAGAATTCCCCAGCCAGCCGTGGAGTTGGGAGTTGGCTGGGAGTTGAAGTCCACTCATCTTAAAGTGGCCAAGTTTGGACAACACTGACTTAAGGGAAAAGCAAAGAGCACCTCAGCAGCTCACCCCATTGCTCTATTGCTGGAACCGGTGCCCATTCCCTGAAGAGGCCCTTTTAATGTACAAATTATAACAAAATCATACCCTGGAAATAAAAATTGGGGGAAATTCCAAGCATGGTTCCTCGGAAATTAACTCAGCAGGGCTTCCAAGGAAAATACATTTCAAGGGCAAAAAAAAAAGCCAGATTGTTAGGTCTTTCCCGAAAGGCGAATGCGTGGAATCATCGCTCCGCTCCTTCCTCCAGCAAAAACGCATTTTCTCTCTTCTCCGTTGCTCTCCCATTCCCCCACCACCACTTCCCCCAGTTTCAGGTCAGCCCTACCGAGCCTATCAATTTAATGCGAGATGGGATCGTTCCCCCCCCCCCCCTCATCAGCAAGAGCATTGCGCCGTCCAGAGCACAATAGATAAATTACAGGACATTCCCGCCCACGTTCCTTTGGAGGCCGTCCACGCCTCTTCGTGGCTCCAGCAAAGGGCCACGTTTGAAGCAGGAAGCTGATGGGCATCTTTTAGAACTCAGACCTAACACGTCAGACGGGGTCAGTGGCTTCGTGGATCTGATGGAAGAGTGTTTTAAAAGACCCCGGCATTAAAGTGTAGGCCACGGGCAAGACAAAAAGCAAATGACTCATTCCCAGGAATAACGCCGTTTTCCTCCTGGTGTTGATTCACCACCAAGGGGAAGGATTTTTGCAGGGGGGAAAAGCCCTCTCTGATGCATCCTGCAGCAGAATAAATTTATTTTGCAATACATAGCCACTTTTGTTTGTTCGGACAACAGGGATTTTTTATTGGAAAAAAGTAACATTGGAAAGTTCGACCTATTTACTAATGCCTGGCGTGAGAGTACTCTGCGCTCCATTTCCATTTCTATCAAGACATCGATAGCTTGGGTGGAGGCGTGATTATTGCCAAAAGATAAAAATGAAAGGAGCCCATTTGTCTTCCTTAGTCAGAGCTTTCAGCCTCGGCTCCATCTCACTGAGCAGCTTTTGGCCATCTACGTCACCCCCAACAGTGGTGGGATGTCCGTAATTACATATCCATTAAGGAGAGGGGGAGAGAGGGCAAAGCAGATGTTAGCCATTACTGCACATTCAGGAAAAGCGACACTGGCAGGTCTACAGAGGAGTTTACGTGGCCTGCTGAAAGTTCCAGGTTCAGCTCCAGACGGGGTGGGAAAAGGGCCTGAACTTCTGAAGAGCTGACGTCAACCAGCTTGGACACTATTTTGCTAAAGGCGTCAAGAGTCCAGATCTTGGCAGCGGGGGCCATGTTCTCCTGGCCACCTTCAATCTGAGATCCTTCCAATGTGTTGGGACTCCCTGTGTGTTCTCAGCCAGGATGGCGTTGGTGCTCTTTCCCGCTCCAGAAAATTAACCAGACCTTAGCCTTGTCTAGAGGAAGATGGGAAACACGGGATCTTGGCTGAGACTGACTTGCTTCTTCGACTTGCTCAGACTGACTTGCACTCCGGACCTTGAGAGAGACCGCTGGATGGCGCTTCTTTCTCCCGGCTGAAGCGCTTGCAAAAGACACCCGTGATTTCTCTCAAAGGACTTGGAATCTGAACTGAAGGAGCTGGCAAGCGCTTCCAAGAACATCCCAGCGGGATGCACAGCTTGCAACGTCTTAGGACGATGCTCCTGAGATACAACTAAACGTATATGGTCTTTTTATATAGTATGATTTTTTAGCTCATTTTCTAAGAGTTTATTTTCTCTTAGGTCTGAAGAAGCAGCAAAAGATGCTGACGATCTTTTGGCTGCTTGCCCCAAATTCAGAGAGGAGTTGCCTTCAAATTGGTCACGGAATGGCTTGGTGGTATGGGGTTAACCTAACCATGGCTTCCACCAAGTCACAGGATTTGCCCAGAGTGGGCTGGGTGTAGAGGAACAGAGAAGTGACCTTGGAGGAGGTAGGTAGAGACTGTTAGCCAAACAGGAGCTCAGTCTGAGAAAACAAGAAAGTGTGAGAAAGAAACTTAAGGTTGCCCTGCCTTGATGCTCTGCGGTATATGAGAGCAGGATGGGGAAACACTGCCAGGCTTTCAAGATTCTGTTATTACAGCCAATAGCAATAAAATAAAGTTCTAGTATTTCTTAGGGCCTCTGTTTCCTGACCTGGCCTACCTCGAAGGGTTGACCCTGGGCAGATTTGGGCCCCTCGGCACCGGCTCCCTCTTTATCCAACTATTTATTCATCTGGGCATTAGGGATCCACCCAGCAGGGAAAGTTTGCTCGGTCAAGGACACAGATACAAGCAGGAAAAATCAAAATGAAACCCTGTTGAAGTCAATCAATACTATCTGCAGCAAGCAAAACTGAATTTCTGAGAGCAAAGGCTGAAATCATCGAGAGAAAAACACGGGCAAAACCTACAGAAATAAAACAGCTTTAAAAATAGTCGCTGGCATATATGAAGTTGGATTTTTAATGCCGAACAAATACTCTCAGGCCAGGCCGATCTCTCCCCCGCAAGAGCGGCATTGAAAAGACAGCTCCTGAATATGCGCCTAGTTAAAATACAGTGAGTTTTTCTTCTTCATAATACAGGTTTGTGAGCCTCCTGTTAAATATTTCATAGTTCGTGGGCTCCTCCTCCTCTCTCTTTTTAATTTAAACATCTAATTTAAATTTGAAGAGGACATAATCGCAGCCCATTTTTCAAAAGGAAAGCAGCTTTGGGCGAAAAACTGAGTGGAAGTGAACAGGCACCTAAGAAGCATAGCTGAGATGGGGGAAGGTTCATTGCATTGGTTTAAAAAAGCCATTTCTCCGTGGACACCTTCAATGGGTCATTCCTGCTAATGGCCAGAGAGGTTCTGCGTAACTCCAAAGCCGCTACGCTCCAAATGCAGGGAGTCCATACAGGAGTCAGATCGCGTTTCTGGAGGTGGTGGGTTCACCAACTCTGGTGGTTTTTGAAAAGAAGCTGGCCGGCCATTTCTCAGAGATGGCTCCCTTGCCCTTCCTGCAGGGGGTTAGACTAGATGGTCTTAGGGATCCCTCCCAGCGCTACAATTCTCGGATTCTACAATTATTTTCCGTGCGCTTCCATTCCTGGAGAAGCAACTCCTCCCGAGAGCCGGGGATGAAGGCACCCACCTGGATCATGTACAGCTGGGCAATCCGATATTCGTCCACGCTCATCGGAAGAGGAATCCGATATTCTTTTATGAGCATTTTGAAATCCGGGCACCCTTCTGATCCGGTCGGAAAGGCGAGCCCCAAGACGTTTACTGGAGGCTGCTTAAACGACAGCGGAGGCGGACATTTCCTGCAAGAAAAGCGGAGAAAGAGAGAGATCCGTGGAAAAGTTGGCTTTGACGGGGGCCCTTCCTTGAGCAAAGAGCGAATTCTCCTTTCTTTTCCTCCATGGAGTTTCCCAGTTCCCTAATCTGGACCCAAACCTATGGGGAAGGCGGATTAGTCCTGCCTAGGCAAGCTTAAAATCTCTGGACAGGGTAGATGGGTGAGAAGAACAGAGTAGTGACGTGGAGGCTGGTTGGAGTAATCAGAAGAAAAGTCCTACCTGCTGGAAAGAGGTTTATCACTCAGGTCCCACCAAACCCAGGCACAGGAAAACTGGGGGGGGGGTATCTGGGCTCACATGGAGAGAGGCCTGCGGGCGCTCCCCCAAAATGGCAGCCTGAAGACTCGTAGTCTGAGAGCCAACAGTCAAAACTGCTCCTGGCCCTGGAGGATCACTTCTGTCTGGACCCCGGAGGAGGACATTTCAAACCCCAAGGATTCTGTTGGATAAGGATCATCACCGATGAGAATAGCTTAGTTTTGCAGTGGGCTGCCTTCCATCTTACTTACTTACTTACTTACTTATTTATTTATTTATTTATTTAAAAGGATAGGGGTAGCCTATTTTTTTTTTTAATGATTTATAGATGGGAGGAAGGGACTGAGAGTTTGGCAGACCTGACCACCACAGGGCACCTCCCTGGCGAAAGCTAACTGTGGTCAAGGGGCTACAACAGAGAACAAGCCCACGCTTAGACCCCTGGTCTCTTGAACCCTTTGCAGAGCAGGCAGGCTAAACAGGGCAAATCCCGCTGTAGTGTCTGAAGAGTTTCACACTCCCTATCCAGGACCGCTGGTGCTTTTTGCACTCTTCTTGTGCTGGCACACCCACTCTCTCAATCCTCCCAAGGAACCCCACGGTGGGGAAGCCAAGAGCCTTTTTTGCAGCCTGCGCAAGCCCTCTTTGCAAGCCGGCATCTCCCGGGATCGCTGAGCGTCCCAGAAAGGCATTGGAAGAGGTCCTTCGCAGCAAAACATTTAAAAACTGCTGCTTTGCGCCTGGGACTTCCAAAACCGCCCTTGCCCTCGGCAGTGGATTCTTGAAACCCTCCTCGCAAAAACAACAAAAAAAGAGAGTATCGATACGTTAAATTTCACAGCTTCTCCATAAAGCCCTTTCGATGCAACTCCTCCTCTGAAGCTGCAGCGCGAAAACGCCTCGTAAGGAGAAAAGAGTTCCCCCCCCCGTGTTAGAGTTCTTAATTGGACTCCCTGTCTGGAGGCGCTGATCGGGTTGGGGAAGGAAGGTGGAAACACAGCTCCTGATGTTCGGTTC